TTAAAGCTGTTCCAGTTTTGTAAGTTTAGGTAGTTAGGTAGGTAGGTAGGTAGGTAGGTAGGTAGGTAGATAGATGACAGACAGACAGACAGACAGACAGACAGACAGACAGATAGATAGATAGATAGATAGATAGATCTGGCTTATTGAAAAGCTGCAGCCTCTTAACGTTGTCTGGAAATGTGGGGAGCTCCACTGAAGCTTCATAAGAATTCTTAGACCATAAAAGGGATTGTTAGTTGCTTCCAGCAAATTTTGAAGCATGTTTATGCAGGAGATGAGCAGGTTGCAATTCTTTGTTTTTGTAGTATGGTTTTGTTAAGTATTTTTAGCATATATATTATATTCGAATTCATATTAAATGGTAATATGACACAGCATCATTGCCATATTTACTTTCTGACATAAATATACCGAGTGTAACTTGATGCATATCACTATAGATGTACATTTTAAAATTTTGTTATAGAACCTCTATGTGCATCTCCAAACTAATGAGACTGATCCGTGTTTTTAATGATCTTTAAATTGTATTAAATAGGAAGGGTTTTCAGAATTGAGTAATACTTTGCATTTGAAATCTGAATAAATAATTGGAAAGAGTTACATTTCGTTATCATCTATATCTGGCATTCACGAAAGGCAACTGTGTTCTATTTGGCAGATTTCTGATAAAATACAATAAGTCTGTTATTTTCTACAATTGCACAGTAATAAATTTTGTAGTTTTGGAAAATCTAGAAAAACTTCCCTTTCATTTTCTGGGGGGGGGGGGGGGGGGGGGAGAAATTGGCAGAGGGTTCAAAATTAGTAAACCGGAAATGAAAACTGTATATGGTACGTAAATCGGAGAAATAATATGATACGGAAAAGTTTAGCTACAACTGTGATGAATTAAAAAGCGAGTAAGAATCTCCATTAGATCAGTAGCTCAGTAGATACTGAAAAATAATTACACAAACTTGTGTGGGAACTAAGGCTTCTATAGAATTTACTCACCAATAAACTTGTGTAAGATTGCAATGTTTCAGTATACTACTGAAACTTTAATCATGACCTTTAATTGGACAAAACGGTGCACCACAGGGCAGCAATTTTTGAATCGGGGTACCTCCAATGGACTAATTTACAGAATGAGTTCAAAATCTAGAACCCAGAGGGAATTAAATTTGGTGAAATTGTGGCTGCTTCAGTGTTACAATATTGGGACCACATGATCTTCATTTTCAATGTTCTATAACAATTTCCCAGCCAATCTTGCAATCCCTTGCTCCCACCCCCACCTCACAGCAGCTACCCGTCTACTGGGAATGGAAGGGGTAAGAAAGGAACAGGGAAGAAGGAACCTCCCCACAGCCTTCCTCACCCATGCCACAAACGATCTATGCCCAACATCTTGCATCTTCCCTAATTTATGCTGCCACCCCCATTCCCTCGTGCCTTCCATGATTTATGTAGAACTTTCCCTGGCCCACAAAACAACTCTTGCTCACCCTCATGCATCCTTCCAGATCCATGCCACCCCCATGGAGCTTACCTGACCTGCTGGCACATCCCCACACTCCATCCCGAACCCATGCCATCCCCACACCCAATATTCCTGGTTTGCATGGTACTTTTCACATAAACCCAAATGCCTCCACCTTTACCAACCTACACCATTGCACCACCGTATGCCATACCTGACAGGCAACTATCACACCCATGACCCCCCCTCCCACACCCTTCTTGACCTGTTCCACCCCCATGCACACAGCATGTCTTGCACATCCCTACAAGACTCTTCCCAACCTATACCACCCGCTTGCATCCCCTCTCCAACCTCCTTGCTCCCTCCCCCACTCAGCAGCACCTATTTACCTGGCTCCTGACCTTGGACTTTGTACTTCCTGCTGACTTGCCCAATGACTTTCTACCTGCAAACTTCCCACAAGCAAAGTAAATGGGGAAGCTGACACTAATTCGAGGGAGGAAGGAAGGAAGATTGGTTCTGATGTTTCCTGCTAGCTTTTCATGAGGAAACTCATTGGGGAAGCCAGTTGGAAATTGTTCCCGCTTTCACTGCTTTTTTGCCAACCAGCTGTGGTCATTCTGTTTCTATGGAATAGAAATATCTCTGAAAAGATGACCCAATGGATTATAGGTTGTCAAAGATACTCTATAAACTAGACTTGTCTGTCTGTCCATCCTAGTGCTAAATGCTCTTAACTAGTAATATTATTTTCACGTCTGTCCAATAAAAAAATGTTGCCTAAAGAGATAGAATGGCACGAGTACTTGCTTCTGTTGCAGTAATAATGCTTTGTTATTTCTTTTTTTTAATTAAATGTTTTATTCATTTTCATTTTCAATTTTGTACATTCACTTATATACTGGATATTGGCAATAATAATATTATAATCGTATGAAAAAAAAACAAAAAATCCCCAACCGAAACACAACTCATAAACCCCACCTATCACTTTCACACACCCCTTCTTCTCCCCCTCCAACTTTCCTTTCTCCCTCCAACGATCACCCCTCCTACTTCCCTTTCCCCTCCTATCTTCCTTTCTCGCCTTTCTCACCCTCCTTCCCCTCTCATCCTCCTTACATTCCCCTCTTCCTCCCTCCTTACTTCTCCCTCTTCTTTTCCTCTACTTCTCACTATGGTGCATTTCTCTATTCCTTACACCAAAAAAAAAAAGGAAAGAAAAAAGCAATAAGAAAAAAAAAGAGAAAAAGAAAAAGAAAAGATAAGGAACAACAGTATACAAGTGTATTCTTCTTGTTCTATATATTGAAGCTATATCTCCACCCACCCACCCACCCCCAATGAACCCCCCTCCCTAACCCACTCCGACTTCCCAGGTCACACACCCGGCACAGTTCAGTACCATTCACCTTCAAAATATCTTATTAACAATAATAATGAAAATAAAATAAAAAGAACACTCCGAAAAAGAAAACAAAAACAAAAAAGTAAATAAAATAAAATTGAAAACTCTTTTGCATTATGCTCAGCCTCCCATCATTCTTCAAATTTTAAACAGTGTGAATCATTCCATTTATATTTTGTCCTCGTCCCTTACTTCTTTGATATTTACCCCCATCTTCCTGTAGAATCTCCAGATAGTCTTTCTTAACCTTATATTCAAATATTAGTTTATACAAAAATCAATTTATCTTCATACTTTCGCTACTCATCTTCCTATCCTTCGTTTCACGTCTCCATTCCTCCCAAGCCCAAATTGCATAAGATTAGGATCTCGCTCTTCACTTTAAAATCCTGAGCTTTTTATATTATACTTCAGGCATGTAAATTCGTAAAACATATGCCCAAAATTCATACCAGTTCGTTCAATCCCAAGATTCCTTCATCAATATCCCACTCCACCTTCCTTTCTGCTCCACACTCCATTCATCCCAAACCGCAATTCAAATAAATCTTAGTCCCCGCTTTCCTCACAGAAAACACTTCATGCGCAGTTTGGATTGAAACTCAAATAAGTCTTGTAAAAGTCCCGTATCAGTACACAGCTTTACCATTTCATACCAAACAGAAATCCTAAAGTTTTAATCAGTCCAAAGGCTTAGAAAGTATTTTAAAGACGTCGCTGGGTCTGTATTCTTTACTCTTCTGTCCTTCCGGAAAGAAAAGGCAACCCTCTGCCTTATAACCACGTGTCCCGCTGCTTTGAAAATATGACTGAATCCTCAGTTTCCGCTCTTCTGCCTCTCCAGTAGGGGGAGAGCAACTCCCTCCTTCTTGTAGTCAAATGAGTTGCTGCTTGTCTTTCCTTCACCTTGTCCTTCCGCTTTTCCGAGTGAGTCAGGAAGCCCCGCCTTCAGAGTTTTATAATAAAAGTCCCGAGCTTCCGAAACAGAATTAATACGAAATCTTTGATTTTCAAATGTAACTGTGATTCCAACTGGAGCCTCCCATTTATACTTTATTTGACGATTTCTGAGTTCTTGGGTTAAAAAAGTATAACTTCTCCTTGCTTTGTTATTTCTACACAGGACCTGTTGGACCATTCCTGTACTTCTGGGAGCGGCTCAGGGCTGCCTTTCCTGGTACAAAGAACAGTGGCTCGGCAGATTGCCCTGTTGGAGTGCGTAGGTTAGTTATCGTTTGATTTGTTCATCAAAAATAGCTCTATGAGCAATGGGACTTGGGTAAACGTTACAGCAGTCATCTCAGACTCCTGATTATTTGATTTTACCTCCCTTCTTTTAGCTTAAGGAAGATTGTGCTAGATGAATATAGGTGGATCACTTTTTTTTTTTTCAAATGGTGGACTTCCATCATTTTAAGTTGCTGTATAAGGCTACCCAGAGAAAAAGCAGACCATTTTTTTTCTTCTCTGCTTTTCCTGAAAGTGAAGTGTTTGGAATTAAGTCCTTTAAAAAAAAAACCTGGCAAGATTCAGCCTTAAGGGGGGAAAGTGGCAAAAAGGAATCTACTACTGAGTATTGCTTTCTCCACTGCTATGTATTTTAATTTTTGTATTTAGGATGTAATTGTTTTTATTCGATTGGCTATTGCTCACTGTCCAAAGCCACTAGTTGAGATGGACATTTTTACAAATTGATTAACTAAATAAAGACAATCCCCTGGGTTAAGAATGAAATCCATTTACACAGAATTTATATGTAAGTCAGGTACATCATAAAAAACATAAAAAGCAATTAAAACAATATAAAATTAATATATATGGTCACTGAATAAACTTGTGGACATGGGGATTAATATAGCCAAGAAATGGGACTCATAACACACACCCGTATCCATGCCCCTAATGGGACGCGTAACACACACCCATATCCATGCCCCTAATGAGATCCATAACGCACACCCGTATCCATGCCCCTAATGGGTCCCGTAACACCCCCCCCCCATCAGAGTTCCATGCGCCTTGGGCATTTAGTCATGCCGGCTGCATGACCACAGAAATATCTTCAGACAGTGTTGGCTCTTTGGCTTTGAAACAGAGATGAGCACTGCCCCCTAGAGTCAGGAACGACTAGGACATATGTGTAAGGGGAACCTTTACCTTTATTGAATATAACAAACAATACTAAACCTTGCAATTAACTTTGGACACTTACCGTTTTAAAAGAACAAGTCGTAAAGAAGACTTTGTAATATTCTTTATGATTTAACAGGTTGAATATATATAGTATCAGGAATTGATGGTTCTTAAGTGGTCTTAGCTAGCTTTTTAAATATACGCACTGCACTCACCTATATCTAAAAACACTAGGAAACTACTGCAGCTCCATATAGGCTTGGAACTTGGCCTTTTCCTAAGATAGACAGCATCTGTTTTTAGAGACTAAATTGTTAGCCTGTATTACGTTGCTATTTTTGGATAGGAAGTCTCGTCTGGGTATTAGGAATTCCTCGTAGGGTGTCACGTGTCTCTTTTCCTTGAAACACATCTGTTGTTGAGGAACATGTGCCAAATATGAAGAAATGGGAGATGTATGTTTCTGAGAAACAGAGCAGGTGGCACTGCACTGAATTAAACTTGTTTGGGTTGACCAGGGATACTCTTATGTCAGGAGTCTCCAACCTTGGCCACTTTAAAACTTGTGGACTTCAACTCCCAAAATTCCCCAGCCAGCATGCAAAATGAAAGTGGCTGTCTCAAAAGTACAATCCATATTCCAGGCCTTTCCCATTAGACCAGTGGTTCTCAACCTTCCCAATGCCGCGACCCTTTAATACAGTTCCTCATGTTGTGGTGACCCCCAACCATAAAATTGATGGTACCTAAGACCATCGAAAATATGTGTTTTCCAATGGTCTTAGGCGACCCCTGTGAAAGGGTCGTTCGACTCCCAAAGGGGTCCCAACCCACAGGTTGAGAACCACTGCATTAGACAATCATTTATTTCTAGTCAAAAGTCTTTTTG